CCACCATTTTTTATGTTTATCCCTTGAGGACACTTGGGTTGCTGCTAGTTTTTGGCTATTATGAACAGAGCTTCTATGAGCATGTGTATACGGGTGTTTGCCTGAGTGTTCACTCTCATTTCTCATGCTTGGGAGAACAATTGCTAGATTAGATAGAGTGCATGTATGCCTTAATAACTGCCAAACTATTTCCCAGAGTGGCTGTAGCACAAGTATTTTTAAAATTTTAAAAAAAGCCATAGGTCCTGAGAATTACAAAACACTTGAAACATCGCTTCTCAAAGCCAGACTCTGTCCAACAGGGTTGGCCCGCTTCTTCCAGAGAACAGGTGGTAAGTCAAAGTCCTACCAAGTATCCTATGCAGAACCCATGCAATTCATGATTTTATAAGATGCTCTACTTACAATGTGTTTGCCTGAGGCCACATCAAGGGTGGAGGTCACTGAAAACAGGCTTTCTGATGATAACTGCAACCTACAAACACTATAGCTATAAATCTAAGGAAGCCATGCTGAATGAAATAAAACAGAGGCAGTAACATATCATGTGTCTCAGGTAAAGAAAATCATCATCTGAGAAATCCAAGCTCCAAATCTACATTGTTGTTGTTAGCTACTGTATAGTCAGCCCCCAGTTTATGGTGACCCCATGCACAATGGAAGGAAACACTGCCTGGGCCTGCACTATTTCCATAACTGATTACAGACTGGACCACTGTGAATTACAGGATTTTCACTGTCTTAATTTTCAGAAGTAAATGGCCAGGCCTTTCTTCCTAGTCTGTCTTAGTCTAGCAGCTCCTCTGAAACCTGTTCAGCATCACAGCAATACACAAGCCTCCACTGACAGATGGGTGATAACTGTGCAAAAGGTGCATTGGCTGAGAATTGAACCTGGGTCTCCCACATGAAAGGCAAGAATTCTACCACTGAACCACCACTGCGTTCCCAATTTCACCTCAAACCCAAAACCCCTTGCTGTCGATGTGACTCCAGCTCATAGAGACTCTATTAGGCAGGACAGAACTGCCTCATAGGATTTCTACAGCTGTAATCTTTATAGAGGCAGACTGTCATATCTTTCTCTTGCAAAGCAGCTTGTGATTTCAAACCACCAACCTTTCAGTTAGCAGCCAAGCACTTAACCACTACACCACCAGGCCTCCTGTCAATTTCACCTAAGTCTATAGAAATATGATCAAAATGTCACATAAATTTTTATAAATAATTGCCTACCACAAAAGGTGTGTCCAATGAAGTGAAAGGAGCCAGGTGGCACAGTGGTTAAGTGCTTGACTGCTTGTCCAGGATCGTGGCCCCCTGGACAGTGAGGAGGGGCTCTCTCTCAGACCAGGCCATTTGAGGGAACATATAGGGAAGGTAAGGACTTTGGCCTGGTGTAGGGGTTTCCTCCACCCCAAAGAAGCACTGTGATGTCTCAAAGATAACAGGAACCCCACCTGCCCCTGCTCTAAAAAAAAAAAAAAAAAACTCACTGTCGTGGAGTTGGATCTGACTCATAGCGACCCCTCCTTCAGCTTCCGAGGCAGGATCACCATGGAAGTAGATTGCCTACCAGGAGTGGCTGATGGGTTTGAACCACCAGCGTTCTAGTTAGCAGGCAAATGCCTTAGGCACTACACCACCAGAGCTCCAATCCATTATCTGTACCTTGGTATATGGCACCCCAGTCACCCACTGCTCATTCTCCAACCAGTGCTGTCTAGCTCTAGAAATATACTTTGATCTCACCTCTGATTCTCCTTTTGCATGCACTATATTTAACAGAGTCACCTGGAGCCTAGATCTGTGACTACCTATACCTCAGTTCCCCACATGGCAGCCACATAGGGTCATCTTTAAAAAGATGTAAATCAGATGCTGCCCAAAGCCCCCAGTGTTGTCCCTCTGGTCCTGTGTGGTGCATGGCCCTGTCAGCCCAGCCCTCCCTCGTCAGTGCATCCCTCTCCCCTGTGCCATCTCTACTCTGGCCACACTTGTCTGTCTCACCCTTAACACAAAGTTTGTTCCTACCTCAGGACCTTTGCACTTGCCATTCATCTACGTGAGACACACGCACCTCAGATCTCTAAGCAGCTCCCTCACAACAATGGTCTCCATTCAAATGCCCCCTCCTCAGGAAGATCTTTCTAGTTCTTCAGTCCCGAGCACACACCTCTATCCCTACCTTGACCTCTGTCTGCTTGCCTGCCTTTAGCTTTCTTCATGGCTCTTACCTCTACCTTATCTAGGAAAGTATCTGTTAGAACTAGAACTACTAACAACAGTTATAGTTATGCTGTTGTTATATGCCATCAAATTGGCTCTGACCCCATAAACAATAGAACAAAACACTGCCCAGTCCTGCATCATGTTCACAATCACTGATTGGTATGTGTGAATCCATTGTTGCAGCCACTGTGTATTTATTTTGAGTGCCTTCTAGCCTAGGGAGCTCATACTGGCTAACAGAACAATGTTCTGTTAAGATCTTTAGGATCTGCATTGGCTAATCTTTGGAAATAGGTTGCCATGCCTTTCTTCCTTGTCTGTCTTAGAAGTTATATTTATGTCAACCTAGCAGGGCCTTTCAATCTTGTTCTCAACAGCACCTGGCATGTGGTAAGGTATTTAATAAATACTTATTGAACAAATGCATGGTTTAACAAATGAGTATGTGTGCACAGGAATCTGTGAGGTGAGTTGGATAGGTATAACACACGCTTTACAAATAAGAAATGGAGGCTGCGAAAGCATTAGGTCACTGCTCACAATCTCAACCTCTGAAACCATGTGTATAAGAACTAGAAACCAAAAAACCTACTGTCAACTCCTACTCAGAGTGACCCTATAGGACAGAGTAGACTAGCCCCATAGAGCTTCCAAAGCTGTAATCTTTATGGAAGCAGACTGCCACGCTTTCTCCTATGGAGCAGCTAGTGGATTCAAACCACTTATCTGCTGACCTTCTGATTTGCAGCTTTGTATGAGGAATCAAACCATCAAATGTTATCAAGTAGATTGCGACTCATAGCAACCCTACAGGACCAAGTAGAACTACCCCAGAGGTTTCCAAGGCAGTAGATCTTTACAGAAGCAGACTGCCTCCTCTTTCTCCCGAGGAGTGGCTGGCAGGTTCAAATTGCCAATCTCCTGGTTAACAGCCAAGCGCTTAACCACTGCATCATCATGGCTCCTTGTATAAGCACTTGTTGTTGTTGTTATGTGCCGTCGAGTCGGCCCCGACTCATAGCGACCCCTCCTTGGGTTTTCGAGGCAGTATCACTACGGAAGTAGGATAAGCACTAGTTCCTTCAAATCTCCCACACGGGAGGAATATTCTTTTTCCTGGCCTTCTGCACAGATAATGATATAGAAAGAATGATACATGAGAGGAGAATCCTAAGTGAACAGATCTCCTCAAAGACAATCATTGCAAGAAAAACTACCAGGCCTGCAGCTGGGGTTGATTTTTTAATTTACTTATTTGTCTTCTGGAAAATTAACTGTTCTTCCTGCTCCTGAAATCATATATATTATTGTATTATTGGCTGCAACTTTTCTACAAAAGTATGGAATCATAGATATCAGCAAAAGAAAAAATTAATGCAAACTCTAAAGGAGAAAAATTTAAAATTTTTAAAATTTAAAAATTTTAAAATTTCAAGATCTCTGTTATCTCTTAATCATTCTGCTATCTCTTAATCATTAACCAAAAGGCAGCTCTGTCAAGGAAATCCAGGGAAACAGTGGAGCTGTGAAAATGTGGAGAATGTGAAAATGTCCAGGTTTGAAACAAATTGTGATGATGGTAGTGGTAGGATGTCACCACACTTTTAAAAACGTTTTAAAAAAGTGTTTACAGTCATGTGCAGGCGCTCCAGGGTGAGTTGCTCATCATTGTCTTTTAGAAATTATCAGAAAAGCTGTTGCTCCTTTATTTTTCAGCATTAAAAATAGTTTTCTTCAAATAAGTGAGTCTGGGATTTTGAGTGGGTTTAGAAACGCGAGTCAGGAGGTTCGAATACTTACATCAGTCCACATGTCTCTGACTACAAGCTGCTTTCTACAGTTTTAACCCGCTCTTGGTGACCTCAGGGGACAGTTTCTGAGCATTTGTGACAAACACCCACTATATTAAGTTTGTAATAAAGATAAATAAATAACTACAAGTATTAGGTCTGTCACTATATCCACAACGTTTTCATCTCTGTCTCCTCAAAACTGACCACAACCCAACACCTCTCCCTCCCGCGGAGGCCGCACGTGGCTGACGATCCCCAGCTCTGCGTGGGGTGGGGCTGGTCTCACCTGCGCGGCCACCCACCCCGGGGGCGGGCACACGTCACCTGTTCATCGGCCTTACCACCCTTCCTTAGTCACCAAAAGGTTTGAAAACACGAACGCAAGGTTTTTCTTGGGGTGTCTAGGGATCTGCTTCTTAGGGCGCGGACAGTGGGAAGAGGTGCAGGGACCGTCCCCCGAGTCCACACCCGGGCTTTCCCCGAGGGCACGGAGGGAAAAGTGACATCAGGAAGGACCGTCGGCGACGAAGATGCCAGCCTGGCGGAGGTGGCCGCACAGGGAGCTGCGGGCTGGGGGCGCCAGGAGCCCCCCGCCCGTGACTCCCAGCCCACAGCCCCGCAGGCTCCGTGCCCCGCAGGGGCGGGCTGGCG